GGTATATAGAAATATAGCCTTATTAGAGATTAAAACCCTCTCGCTAGAAGACTTTAAGGAAGAAGTAAGACTATAAGATATACTTAAAGAGCTATACTTAGATATTAATAAGATTACTAGAGAGTTTATAGTAATACTAAGGGTAATATAAAGCTTAGATAGGACCTCCTATCTAGTATAACCCCTAACTAAACTCCTACTAGAATACTAAGATCTAGTTATTATAACGAGTAAAAAAGATACTATAGCCCTTCTAACCTATATAGAGTATAATTATATAATTAAGCTAATACTAAGTAAAATACCCCTTTAGAGACTAGTATATATACTATCCGCTAAGAAGTTAGAAGTCCTCTACTAATATATTAAGGAGAACCTTAAAAAAGACTAGATCCGATACTTAAAGAGTTAATCGGGTATACCTATCCTCTTTATACTAAAGAAAGATAGTAAGCTTAGACTCTATATAGACTATAGAGGGTTAAACGCGATTACTATTAAGAACTACTACCCTCTACTACTAATTAATAAGTCCTTAGTAAGATTATTAGGAGTATAGATCTATACTAAACTAGATCTATAAGATACCTACTATAGGATCTATATAAAATAGGGAGATAAATAGAAGATAGTATTTAGATACTACTATAGATATTTTAAATATATAGTAATACTATTTAAACTTATTAATACTCCCGCTACTTTCTAAGTATACGTTAATAAAGCCTTAGTAGGACTTATTAATATCTACTTAATAGTATATCTTAATAATATACTAATCTTCTTAAAAGATAAGAAGACCTATATATACTATATCTAAGAAGTACTAGAATACCTAATTAAATAGAGATTATTTATTAAACCTAGTAAGTATATATTCTATATAGAGAGGGTCGATTTCTTAGGTTTTATCGTCTCCCGCTATAGAGTTACTATAGACTTTACCCGAGTAGAGACGATAAGTTAGTAGCTAGAGCTAATCTATATCTTTAATATATAATAGTTTATAGGCTTCGCTAACTTCTACTAATATTTTATTAGGAAATAGTCGATAATTAGCGCCCCTCTTAACGATCTAATTAAGGGGCTAGACGTATAAAAGAAGAGAAGAAATAAGCGCTAGGAAAGGTTTATCTTTATAGAAGAAGCGCGAGAAGCTTTTAAAAGGACTAAGACTACTTTCTAGACTATATCGATACTCGTATACTTTAACGCTACGTTAAAAACTATAATAGAAATAGATACGTTAGGAGCCGCTATTTATATAATTATATTATAGCTTTATAAAGATAGATATTAATACTCTATTATCTTCTACTTCTAGAAGATATTAGTAGTAAAGAGAAATTACTAGATCGGTAACTAAGAAATATTAGTAATCTTTATAGGGTTTAAAGAATAGCGCTACTTCCTTAAAGGAAATAAATATCCGATTATAGTAATAATAAATTACACTAATCTTATCTAATTTATAATAACTAAGGAGCTTATAAGATACTAAATACGCTAGATAGAATACTTTATAGGGTTTAACTTTATTATTATATTCCGCCTAGAGAAAATAAATCTTATAGACGCTCCTAGTAGACGACCTAACTATATAGTAGACGAGTTACTAGACGCTATAAGTCGTAATATCTTTATATAGAGACTTAAGGAGACTATTAGTAAAAGCGCTATTTACTAAAGGGATCTATAGGATACGATATACCTAGGCGCTATAATAATTATAGTATATATAGAGATCCTTATTAAGCTTATAATAAATAGACTACTAAGTTAAAAGAAGATACGCGAAGTAGTTAAAGAAGAAACTATATATATCTATAAGCCGCTAGAAACTATAGTAGAACTTATACTTAAGATATAGGCGAAGAATAAGTTCTATAGGAATATATTTAGAAGGATATAGGAAACCGGCGACTTTAAATAACCCCCGAAGATATAATAGAGTATAAGGAGCTAAGATAGACTACTAAGATATAATAACTATATCTATATTCCTAAAAGCGAACCTATAATCTACTAGGAAATTATAAGGATCTACTATAACGATTTATAGGTAGGCTATTATATAAGGAAAAGGACGCTATAGACTATTAGATATAAATATTAGTAGAAAACCTTTATTAAGGATATATAGGACTATATCTTTATATACTAGATTTATTAGTCTAATACTATTAAACGCTATAAGCTATATAGACTATTCGAACTACTACTAATACTAGAGAGACTAGGTTAGTAGATAAGTATAGACTTTATTATAGGCCTACTATCCTTAAAATAGAAGGGGAAGGCCTATAATATAATTATAGTCGTAGTTAATCTATTCTTAAAATATTCCCTCTATATTTCCTATACTAAGGATATAGACTTATTAGAACTTATAACCTTATTTTATAAAAAGGTTATACCCTTATAGGGAATACTAGAAAACCTTATTAGTAATAGAGGTACTATTTTTATATTAAAATTCTAGAGCTATTTCTACTATCTCCTTATTATAAGATATAGACTATTAATAGCTTACTATCTATAAATCGATAGGTAGACTAAGAGATAAAACTAGAGTATTAAGTATTATTTATATAATATAGTAAGTTAGTACTAGGACGACTAGATAAGATAGATCTCCTTTATATAGATTATCTATAATACTACTATCTATAGTATACTAAAAATATCTTTAGCCGAAGTATTACTAGGATTCTAACCGGAACTAAGAACGTTAGTACTAAATAAGAAGATAGAAACCTATAATAACGCTAAAAGCTATATAGAGGAAATACTAAAGATACGAGAAATACTAAGAAAGCGCCTAGAAGAGTTAAAAACTATAATAAAGTAAGCCTATAATAGAAAATATATAGAGAAGTCTTTTATAATCGGATAATAGGTTATACTAAGAAATAAATATATTAATTTAGGATAACTATATAAAAAGCTAGATAACCGCTATATAGGACTCTTTATAATAGTAGGTATAGTAAGATAATAGATATACTAGCTAATCCTTACGTTAAGATACTATAAGATCTACCTTATATAATATACTTTAATACTAGAGCTATACTACGGAGATCTACTAAAAGCTTAAAAGTAGCCTAATCCTATATTAGTAGATAACTAACCTAAATAGGAGATTAAGGAGATCCTTACTAATAACTATAAAGGCGCCGAATATCTTATTAAATAGAAAGGATATAGGTATAAGGAAAATATTTAGGAGCCGAGAGAAAACGTAGAAGATATACTAGTATTCGAGAGCTACTATAATAAGAAGAAAGAATAGCTAGAGTATATAATACGCTAAGAAAGATTTATAAAGAAAAAGTTAATATAATCTAGGATCTACCGCTAGATACGTTCTAGGAAGGTTAGAAAGACTAGAGTAGACTTAAGAATACCGAACCTAATAGCTAATTATTAAACGGACCTTTAGAAAATAACTAGCTATATTAGTATACATTATAGATAGATTAGGGGAGGATCTAGAATACTAGTAAAGATAAGAAGCGGACGAAAAATATCCTAAAGAGACTATAGATATATAATAAGGATATATAAGAGTTTATTACTAAAAAATAGAATAAAAAGTAATATAGCTAATACTCTCTAAAGGTATAATATAATAACTACCTATACTAGATAAATAATCTCTAAGATATACCTATATCTTTACCGCTATATACGTAATCTAGTCTAAGAAGGCGCCTAAAGCTAACCTATAATCTAACTTATTAATAAAACCTACGTCGAAGGGGGCGGAGAGGATAGAGAAAGTAGAGAGAGCGTAATATAAGAAAGACTAAAAGATATAACTATATCTATATAGATATCTTAAGTTAAAATATTCCGTATACTTTAAAATCTCTATATAATTATAAAGAATAATATATTTTACGCGAGGGTAGTATAAGGCGCTAAAATATAAGTATTAGCTTAAGTGTTAAGCCTAGAATCGACTTAAGAAACGTTAATAACCACTAATATAAGCGGAGATCTATATTTACTATTATATAAGACTACCGCTTCTTTATATAATAGTTATACTAGGGAGTATTAACGTTAATCCCGCTAGATAGAGAGGTATATATATACCCTAGGTTATATCTAAGATAGTCTATATAACGCTAATACTACGTACTCGTAGGGTTAGTAGGGGAGATAATAGCCGGAGGGGCGTAATTATTAATAGAGGTATATATCGCACTTATAACTAGAGGAAAGGGAGCTACTATAATAAGTCGAAATAACCTATAGTAAGAAAAGCGAGATAACGAAAAGCTATAAGAAGAAAAGCGAAACGACGAAAAAGCTATAGCGAAAGGACGAGGAAGTACGGGAAGAAGAAAGCTATAACTCGAAGAGAGATAAGTAAAAAATATATAAAGAACTTAGATTATACGCGATAAAGAGAGATAACGCTTAAAGCTCCGAGTCTAGCTACACCTTCCACTATAAAGATAAATTACCCTCTTTTAGATAGCTAGATATATATACTATTTTTAAACCCTCCCTATCTTAACTATAAGAGACCCTCGACCCCCGACCCTTAGCTACGAGGACGTAACTCTTTAAGGAGGGGGAAAATATTACGACCCTCTACTAAGAGAGTGCCTTATAAGCTAGATCCCGCCTAGTCCTATGACCTAGAACCCGTGACCTAGTAGGGGTAGTATAACCCCCCGCTAGAGACTACACTAGGGAGACTAAGTCCTACCGGGTTAGGTGACCTAGTCCCGTGACCCGCTAAAGGTTATCTATATAGAGACTGCTAGGGGAACTTAGCTCTTTAGCGATTAGTTTATAAATATACTAGCACCCTACTATTCCTTCACTCTAGTTCTATATTATCTACTAGGACCCGCTAGCACGCCGGTCCTAACACGAGTTAGATATCTAACCTAGGTGAAAATCTATACTTAAGGGTAAATAAGGCTTCCGAGCGGGCTAAAGACCCTAGCACTATTAAAGATATACTAGCTATATCTAGGCCGTTCTCCCCGCTAACGGCTCGCTCTATATTAGAATATTCTCGAGCTCGAACGACACTAAGTTTTAACCCCCTAGTGCGCTACCTATCGATAGCTATAGTTATACCGTTAACGTTCTAGAAATAAGGAGCCGCTAGGATAAATATAAGGGCCGCTACGGTAGTATATAAGAAGCGACTCTGCTTAGGTCGAGGCACCGGCGACCACTAAGACGAGAAGACCCCCTATAATATAGTATAACCGTATTAAAAGAGGAAGAAAAGGAGACCTTTAATTAGGCTACTTTCCGACCCTTCGAAATCTTCCGTTCCTATTTCATCTTATCACAATAGTTATTAAGGTAAGTGGGCCTAATACCACTATGCAAAACGTAGGAAGTAATAGTAAGGTAGAGCGTTTACTAAAAGAGCCACTATAACGACTAACTAGTCGTCATATCAGGTTACTAACCTAAATACCCGATATATACTATAAGATATACGCACTATATTCGTACTCCGTACGTTAGGTTATAACAATAGTACTATCTAGCATTTATATAGGAGTGCTATTCTTACGGTCGAGTCTAATACTAGTCTAAAACCGGTATATTTCTTTATATTCGTACCCGACCCTAGCCCGATACTACCTCTAGCCTACACGGCGGTTATCCCCCTATTAAAACACACTTATACGTCGGACGAGAATACGCTACTCGTGCGGCTAAAGGAAAAAGAGGTAATATTATAGTCCGAAATTACGACTCACTTCCTAGGTCGAAATATATTATCCCTTTAAGTTCACTATTTAACTAAATTACGCTATAAGGCTAGCTCTCGGTCTAGAAAACCGAGGAGACGCGAATGAGAGAGGCTATACTATTAGGATACTTCTTAGTTCGCGCCTATCGACCTTACGCTATATATAATATTATCCGTAGCTATTAGTTACAATATAAGTATAGAGGGCGGCTTTATATACTCTATAAACGGCGGACCTATAAATTACTATATATGGTTAGTTTCGCCTTTTTAGGTTTAGTGCCCTAATACGCCGTCACGTAACCTCCCTTTAATGCCGCTAATATAAAAGACCGGTCTTCGCTACTCTTCCTCCCCCTCTCTCACTTTTTTATTCTTCCTACCTCTCTATTTACACTCATCACCGCCCCCTTTCTTTTACTTTGGCCCCCATCGACTACTACACATTTGCTTTCCGCCCGACGCACTACCCCCTTTCATTTTACCAGAGATGCCCCTCGATCCGACGCCCAGCTCGTTCTGGCCGGCCTAGGCTGCCATACCGTCCAGTCGCCTAGGAGCACAACCTCTGGGATGAGATGATCCAGCCCGGTCCGTGCTCCGGGGCTGCCTAGTTATGATCTGCCTAGCAGCTCGTTGTCTTCGCTGCTCCGTTCTATCGTGGCTTGGTTCCCTGGTGACTGCAGATGCTTCGCCCTATCCTAAGTATCCAATGGCAAAAATGCCTTATCGACGATCTCATATCTAAACCTAGCAACTAAGCAATCACCTACTCGGATTTTCGGTCTTTGGAGAAGTTATTCTTTGATCACAATATATAGGTTCGTTATGCACACCCAGGCGCTAGCGGATCACAAAAATGTATTTCCAATGCGATCCCCTACTTCGGATTCGACTCTCCCGTATTTATAAGATTTTTCGTTCCATCTGAGTTGCTATCAGCCAGATCGCAGTCGTGAATACGCATAAATTCTCACCTTTCTAGAATCATATATATATATTCATCTGCTCTGCAAATCTGCCCTATTCTCGCCTCTCATCATATATATATATTCATCTGCTCTGCAAATCTGCCCTATTCTCGCCTCTTATTGGCTGACGGCCCTAGGAATCTGCCCTCCGGTCACCCCTGTAGACTACTTGCGCACCCTATTAAGATCGATCTGGAACTGCTTACTCTCTCTGCTCCCTCGACTTTTGCGATTGTTTGTTGCTCTTTTCCGAATGTTAAATATAACCTCTATAACTACGCTTATGCTAAATTTCACGTCTATACGCCTCTTCGTTATAGCGTAGTGCCGTCTTAAAGTCTATTCTCTACGACCGTGTCGCTCTATCCGCGTTCGGCCCGCGTTAGGCTCGCTTTAGGTCCGCTTTCTTACCGCGTAACTCCTTTAAATATTTCCCTCCCCTCTATACGATTTCTATATTTCTACTTATAACTCTACTACTTAATTATAATACCTAATCTTATTTAATATAATATTATATATAGTTTAATCGTATATTAATCCTTCCTACCTATCTTCTTCCCCCTATATAGTAGACGCTCGCTATAGTCTTTAGTCTTAGTCGAGCCTCCTATAGTATAGCTCCTCCGTATCTTTACTTAGTTTATAAAATACCTCCTTCTTTACTACCTCCCGATAGTACGTTATATATAGCTACGCATCCTATACTATCTAGAATATCTTAGTAAAGGGCCTCTATAAATATACTATTATCGAAATATTATACTACGAAGCTATTAATTTTACTATACTTATACCTTATATATCGTCTAGGGCTAATATAAGCTACTTTATTAAAATACTATATATAGTCCTTAAGGATAATATTATATCTATAGTAAATATATATATATCTCTCTAGTCGGTCTTTAGGTAAGGGTATTTATAGGCTACTTACGTAGCTAGATATATTATATAATATAATAATATAATAAGAGGTAATATTATATAAGTAATATATATATTAGATTTTAATATTTAGGACTAAATAAAATATATAGTAGGAATATATATTTCCCTCTATTTAGGACTAAACTTATTCTATCCGTTATTTATATTATATTATAGGATCTACCTACGCCTCTTTAAATCTAGTATATATCCCCTCTCTCTTTATAATTATATATCTTAAACCCCTAAGTATTATCTTTTTAACTCTTTTATATAATTTCTTTATACTCTTCCTCTAAAATAAAATCTCCTTCCTTATCTATACTAGGTAAACGACTATTTTATAAGTTTATAAACTAGAGTCTATCGCCTAAGCCTTCTCCTACCTATTATCCTTAACCGTTATCCTCCGATTCGTTTTTACTCTAATAGTCTAGCTATATTTTAGTTATATATCCTTCTATTTTTAATATATTAAATACTATAAATACTATTATATATTAATATCTATTTCTATTAATATTTAAAGATATATCTATATATACTACTTTATATCTCTCCGGATATACTAGAATCTATTTATTATATAGAGCTAGCTAAAGATATAGGACTATAAAAGTTAGGAGATACTAAAATCGGTACTAAGCCCGCCGCCTTATATCTTACTATAAAGTCTATTAATCGCGGCCTTTAGTTCTATAAATAGATAAAGTTATTAATTATATCTAGCTCTATACCCTTTTAGTTCTATATTTATTATAGCTATTATATTAATTATAAAAATTAATATAAGAATACTTATTTTTTCTAGATCTTTATCGCTTCTAAACGTTATACTAAGAAGCTTTTAGAATATATTATTTATAGTAAGAAAAGTATAAATAGCTATATAGTATATAACTATATACCCTTTTTTATTAATACCGCTTTACTTATTTCCGAAGCTATATAGCGATACTTATAGGGCTATATAACGTATACGGAATAAATCGGTTTTTCGGTATTTACGGTCTCGATATAATAAAGCTATTAAAGGGAAGCGCCTTTATTAGCTATATATAATTATTATATACTCTCTTTAATATAATTATTATCGCGTTATTATCGCTTACCTTTATTCGCTATATACTATTACCGTCTCCTCTTATCCTATATTACTAGCCGATATTATAGTTACGTTAAGGCGTCCTAGTATATATCGTAAAACTAATAGTACTCTTTCCTCGAGTTCCTCTTATCTACCTATACTAAGTCTATCTCCTCTTTATATTTTATTATCCGCGCTATTAAACTATAAGGGATCTATAGAAGTTAGTACCTATTTTAAATATATAGTACTAATATATAGTATATACTTATTAGTATATACTAAGTCTATCCTAACGAATAGTATTAGTACTTCTTCTATCGGGGCCTTTTTATAAAGATATAAGGCGGAATATCCTCCTCCGCTTAGATATATTATTTCTATATATAGAAATAACGGATATAAATCTTATTATACTATTATATATCCTTCTTATTATATATTAGACTAGCGACTTCTATTAATAGGGGTTTACCTATTTAACGTTATATTAGACTTAGAACTTTAGTTAATAGAGGCTTAGCTATCGGATATTATATTAGACTAGTAATTTTTATTAATAGAGGTTTATTTAGTATATAAATAAGGGCTATAAGTATTTTAAACGTTATTTCCTCGGTTTTATTATCTAAACCTTATACTAATAGTTATATAATAGCCTTCTTTAACGTAGTATTAATATTCTATATATTAATTATAGCGGTTAAGGGATTTATATTAATATATTAGCTTCTACTATTATTATATATAGCCTATATACTAAGGACCTAGATTATAGACTAGCTAAGATTAAGCTTCTACCTCTCTTTACGCTAAGTAGTAGCTACCTTCTATACTATAATAGCGATATTAAAAAGGGTACGTTTAAACCGAGTTTCTATATAGTATACTATAATAAGATAAAGGAATAAAGGAGAGATAATAGCTTCGAAGTTAGTATAGGAAATTTTACTTTAATATAACTAGCTAATCTCGCTTATACTAAGTTTTCTATACCTTTCTACCGACGTTATACCGCTATATCCGCTATAGTACTAAGGCTATATTATACCCCGCTATTATACCGAGGTTAAACTATAACGCCGCTTTAGAACTAAGGTTATACCGCTCTATCCGCTCTTATCGCGAACCTATATTATAGCTTCGTATTTATACTAAGTATATATCGCGGTATCCGCGCTCCTCCTAGACCTATACTATACCCCCCTATAATAGGAGCGCTAACTTTACTAACTATCGCCTATTACTTCCTAGACTATAATAATACTAATAAGAATATAGGACTATAATCTATTTAAATCTCTATAGTATAAAGACTAGCCTTTTATATATATAACTTATATCTACGTAGAAGATATATTACTTAATATAAACTATATAATACTTATATTATATATATTTAAAGCTAAGACTATTATTCTAATATTATCTATAATTACTTCTTTTAACTCTTTTCTAATTTATATCTCCCTCTATTACTTACTATACGCGCTATATAGTACCTATACCTTATTTTAGTACTACGCGAGCTCTAAAGTATAATATATATTACGATACTTTAGCTAGCGGTAGCTAAACTTAGTTTAATCTTTACCGCTACTATTAGATCTATTAAAAGGTATACTTAGTAAAATATACTACTATAAAGTATAAAGACTATCTCGCTACCCCTACTATACCTCGCCTATTACCTTTATTAGAGGAGAATATTAACTAACTATCGCTTACCTAAAGCTCCTATAGTTATATCGCTATCTAGTCTTACCCGTCCTTTATTATAGTATCTTTATAAAGTAGTAGACGTTAGCTTTTACTATTATTAGTATCTATTAATCTAGACTACCTCTAAGATTCTAATATTACTATAAGTCTATCGCTAATACCGACTCTACCTCCTAAAGCACTTCCTTTACCTTATATACTACGAGTAAACCTTATAAAAGCCTACTATAACTACCTTTATAGTCTTACTATTAGCGATCTAAGCTCCTATTACGTACTATATATATAGGCTATATAGGGCTATAGTAACCGCTATTTTATTCTAAAAGCCTAGAAGTCCTCTATAGTATAATAGGACGCTCTCGACCTCGGTAGTATAATATACTAATATCTATACTATTATATACTCTTTTAGTACTTCGAGATCTACTCTTCCTATAGTAGTACTCCCTCCTTTAATAAGTACTATAAGAATGAGAACTACTATAGGCACCCAAAATTACTACGGGCACCTAGGGCGCTAAGCCTTTTACGATTTACTTCCCACTAGCCATAATTTATTCACAGCTTGTCGTATTTAATATGGTACTCCCTTAGTATTTCGGATAGTACCCGAATCTTATCTGGGCACCCTATCGCGAATGTAGAATCTTGTACGCCATCTATACTATCATGCAAAAATGAAGCTATTCCTAGATGCTGATTTGATCAAGTTCTAGTGCAAAAATGGAGTTTTTTCCTACTGAAAAGGGGGGTTTGGTGTAAAAATGAGGCTATTCGCAGATGCTGATTTGATCAAGTTTTTTCCTACTGAAAAGGGGTTTGGTGCAAAAATGAAGCTATTCCCAGATGCTGATTTGATCAAGTTCCAG